GCATATCAGAGCAGGAATAGCTGGTCACAGCAGGGTGACCTCCTGTACCTGGTAGTGACAGGTAAGGGCAGGAGCTGGTTCCCTACCCCAGGCATGCCTTCTTCAAGCATAAGGGAAGAGACTGTGGCCTCAGGAGGATCTCATGCTCACAGTCCACACCAGGGAAAGGTGGGTGATGGCCCTATTTAGCACACTACCTCCTTCTCCCTCGGGAGTGTAGACTACAATTCTTTTAGTTCATTTCCTACCAATCACTCTATCTAGATGGCAAACTGAATGAGTAATTGGATTTATGTTAATTGTGGTAATCCTTCCTCCTAGACAGATTGCATGGTGGGTTGCAGAGATCCCACCATGTCATTCCTTAAAATAATATATGGCCAGATTGAAAAACAGAATGTGCTGTGGGAATAGATAATCCCAAGTCAGGGACCAGAAGGAGTTGGATGATGTGCTGGGATGAAAAGGCGGACCCTGCTTTTCACTCCTCTACTTTCCTGATTCTCAGGACAAAATGAAGCCTCACATGTTTACTTTTGCCTCCTAATTAGATGGAAGGTGAGACACTGGAGATGCTCAACACAAGGTATTGAGATGGTATTATTTAGTTTCAGGAACTCCCTAGAGATGAGGGAAGGGAATACTTAGGCATTCCTATGTCTCCTCAACCACAGGCTCTATTTTTGACCCTCTGGTGTAGCTGATACTCTCAGACCATCACAAAACAAGTCAGACTTCAAGAAAGGTGAGTGAGGAGGAATTGTGGGTTAGTGCCTGGGTCAGAGGGTCACATCCTGTCAAAGATGCAGTTGACCCCAGTGGACATGCAGGGATCCCTGGGTGATTTCAGTCTGCCCTGACCACTGTAATCTCTAGCCTCAAACAGCCAGGATTACGCAGTGGAGAATCTCATCCAGATGGGCATGTCTGCTGTGATCCTGATGGTTCTCGGGTGCTGCTCTTTCAAGTGTGGCAGTCAGAGAAGACCCCAAGATGCAGCCAGGAGAGAAATCTGAGAGAGAGAAGACTGTCTGTTCAGCAAGGTAGATCCTCACCACTGAGTGGGGTAAATTCTGGAAGAAAATCTGGAGCATTACACTGAGGGAACTATGTGTTGAGAATGTCCAAAGGAGTAAATATGGTTCTCATGTAGGAGATGTGTGGAGAGAACATTTCTTCCTTGTAGAGGACTTTTCTGCCATTAACCTGGTTATTTTCTCTCTACCGATAGTGATTGTCCCTGACCGGTCCCTGCCTTTCTCACTCCCATGACATGAGACTGCATTCATATTTCAGGCGTAGACCCACACGTATGCACATCCTCACAGGCTGGTCCACTTCTATATATATACACATTCTACTTCATTTTTTTTTTCAATGGAGATTTTTAAAAATTTCTTTTCAGCGTAACAGTATTCATTGTTTTTGCACCACACCCAGTGCTCCATGCAATCCGTGCCCTCCCTAATACCCACCACCTGGTTCCCCCAACCTCCCACCCCCTCCCCTTCAAAACCCTCAGGTTGTTTTTCAGAGTCCATAGTCTCTCATGGTTCACCTCCCCTTCCAATTTCCCTCAACTCCCTTCTCCTCTCCATCTCCCCTTGTCCTCCATGTTATTTGTTATGCTCCACAAATAAGTGAAACCATATGATAATTGACTTTCTCTGCTTGACTTATTTCACTCAGCATAATCTCTTCCACTTCCATCCATGTTGCTACAAAAGTTGGGTATTCATCCTTTCTGATATTAACCACATCCTTTGAAGCATACTTCTGTTCCTTATAGAACACAAAATCTGGTTTTTAATCACTGAATAGATGGGGTAAAAGTAGGGTCTACTTGGAAACAGATAATGGAAGACCATTCCCTAAACCCTCTCTGGACTCATAGAGCTCTTCTCTGCTCATCTGATGATAGCTGGCAGAGTTTTCCAGAAAGGCCATCAGTATTAGGGAACTCAGGGGTGTTTGAAGGGACAGCCTGGAGGTGAGCTGCTACACTGGCTCTAAGAAATAATCAGTTTTTAAAAAGCTGTCCTTCATGGCATTTCACCTTTTCTTTAGTGTAAATACACCCATCATGACCAATATCAAGGACCTCTGTGAAGGCACTGTGTGCCCAGGTGGGAGTCATGGATACACTGTCTTTCATATGTGAGTGTGATCCAGCTACAGGCACACCTCACTGGTGACCCCAACATGCATATATACCTCCTTCTATTTTATTTTTTCCCTTTCTTTTCTAAGTAGACTCCAGGTCCAGCATGGAGCCCAACACAGGGTCTGTAACACAAACCTGAGATCAAGTCCTGAGCTAAGATCATGAGTTGGATGTTTAATGGACTGAGCCACCCAGTGGACCCTCCTTCTATTTTAAACATTTATTTTACTTATTTGAAAGACATAGAGATAGAGATAGAGAGAGAGAGAGAGAGAGAGAGAGTAGGGTAAGGGGACAATGGTGAAGCGGAGGGGAAGGGAGAGAGTCTCAACCTGACTCACCTCTGAGCATGTTCACCAACACAGGGCTCAATCTCAAGTCACTGAGATCATGATCTGAATCAAAACCAAGAGTCAGACACTTCACTGAATCACCCACCAATGTGCCCCTTCTGGTGCCCAGAGTCTCCTTGGACTTGGAAATGTGGGCCCTGCTGACCCTTTTGCCTTTCTCCCTTCACAATCCCATGGGTGAGTAAGCATTCTTCACTCATCATTCCTTACAGGTGTTTTTCCCAAATCTCTATTTTTCTTCTGTTCAAAGGTCAGCTTCCGTCAACTTCCTTTACTCCACCATGAGATATGGAAACACAGATTTCATGGACACTTCCATGAATACCAGCACCTGCCTGTTTTGTCTCCATCTGTAAAACACCTGACTATTGGCCAATGCGACTGTTCCCTGACACCCTCCTCACGGCTCTCCTTCTGGAACTCACAGTACCCAGTGTCCTTCCTGTTCCCCAGATAGCTGCAGGCTTTCATTTCTGTTGTTTTGCATCCAATAAAACGTCCTCAGCATTGTCTTCCAGTTTCATGTTCTGCTCTTCAGCTGTGTCTTCTCATAGATGAAACAAGTACTTGCATTCTGTTGTATCAAGGACTTATTTATTTATTTTTATTATGTACAGTTAGCCAATATATAGTATTACATGTTGGCTAAGTTTTATTATTATTATTATTATTATTATTATTATTATTATTTTACCTCCAGAGTATTTGACTAATTCACTTCCAATTTCTATCTTCTTCCATAATATAACTTCTGTTATTGATTCAAAATCCAATGTTGGCTTTTTCAGTATTTCATGTGCTTAAAGGAAAACGAGTTTCCCATATTCTGGCTGTTTCACTGGACTATGATGGATGATTCTGTGCACAGTCTTCCATAGCACCCCTTATCACATTGGGGACACTCTCTGATATCCATTCCTGTTGGATACTCACCTCCCACACCCCTGAGTTCCAGAGACAGTTGCTCCCAGACCTGTTCTGAAGCTCAGGACTGTAAGGGGCAGATGGTCACGGCCCCAGTTACCCCTGGCATCCACCCTTCCAGCTTGGCACCTCAGCTTGGATGTGTCTGGCAGGATGTCTCCCTTGGGAGTCGCACACTCACACACAGGCAAGACACCACTCAGCTGAGGGTGCACTGGATAGAACCATTCCACACACATACACAGAGGACACGGCTCAGTGCTGACCTCTGTGCTGGGTCAGTGGGCATAGACATGTCAGTCCCCACTCCACACATGGTGGAAGGGTCACTACTTCCACAGTCAGCCAGAAACTGGATGCCCTTCCTGCTTGTGAAGTCCTGGCCACCCACCTGACCACAAGGAGGCAAAAATCAAGTTTGACCACCCCTAACTTGACCCCAGGCACTGGTGGTCACTCAGCTTGGGTCTCTGTTCTATTGAAGTTCCCCAAATTCCAGAAATGTCTGTTTCTCTTTTCTGAAATAGGCTGTTGTCAATAATTTCAGAAACATAAGTAGCATTTCTGAGTGTGAACAGCCCATGGGGTCTCTTGAGAGGTGCATCACTGGTCCACCTTCACTGTGGGATCTGACACATGGACCTCCTCGGTCTTAACCACACGCCTCTTAATCAGGTCAGGAATCTAACAAGATTGATCCCATCCAAATTCTAGGTCCCTCTGACCCCACAACCACTCTGAGAGTGGGGTTCAGGACAGCATGCTACAGACCAGGTCACTGTGCTCAAGATCACCCGGGCAGTGGACACTGGACACTGCTAACCCACCTCCTCATGTAATGACATGAGAATCAGCTCTGTCTCCCATATCAGAGCACTCACCCACGTATTGTTCCCTACAGCTTACAGGCAAGACCCCAGGGTGGTCTTGCTCTACAGCAAGGGGCACTGAGGAGCCAGGAGGGACTCACACAGGCATGTGCCCATGAATGGGGTGTGGATCATGTCACAGGAAAATAGAGAAGTCCTTGGAGGCTGTGACAAAAAGGAAGCCCACACTCTGGGGCCAGGAGAGGGGCCGTGTTTCCTTCCCTAATTGCCCGTTTTTCTCCTCTGGGCTCATTGCCACCATGACGTCGACCTGAGCCATTTAGAGAAGTCACACAAGTGTCTGTGCTGACATGAGCTCCCCAGCACAGCAGGAACCCATGTCCCCTGCAGCATCTCTGAATCTGGGGACCCGTCCATGCTGAGGACCCAGGGGTGTGCTGGGATGAAGGAGACCCAGGGGGAGGCTCTGGGAGGGAAGGACCTGCCCTGGTCTCCTCACCTGGATGGATCATCTCAGGAAGCCTCGGGGTCTACTCACTGCACTGTCATGGACACCAGAGCCAGCTGGGCCCTGCATAAGTGCTGTTCCCCTTCCTGTGGGACTGCTGACGTGACAACACTGTAACAGGTAAGACTGGACTCTCTGTGGCCACACCCTGTGTGTCTGTCTGTCCTGTGGTCACAGTGGGCCCTCCATCTGTACAGCCAGAACCAGAGAGAGGAGACACCATGAACTCCATCCTTACAGCCCTGCTCTGTTTCAGTGAGATCTGAGCAGGGGAAGGGACACCCTAGTCTGGGAGGGACCTGCCCCACAGCCAGGCCCTGGTCTGTCAGAGGTCCCTGGCTCAGGAGGCTCAAGGGAGGTGGGGATCTGCTAGGATTTGGGGCAAATCTCTCACAGGGACTCTCTTCCAGGGCTGAGTGTGGGCCCCAGGACCCAAGCGCAGGCAGGTGAGTCTGTCCCCAGGGGTGCTAACCCACCTCCTCACTAGGGACGGGGCCACCCACTAGGCATCAGGGATGGAGAACAGCAGTTCTGGGCTGACAGAGGGAATGTCTGGGCTTTGAGGCTGAGCTGGGTCCTGGGAGTGGGGAAGGTCTGTGTCCCAGCCTCTGTTTCCTTCTAGGGACCCTCCTGAAACCCACCCTCTGGGCTGAGCCAGGCTCTGTGATGCCCTGGAGGACACTTGTGACCATCTGGTGTCTGGGGGCCCTGGAGGCCCAGGAGTACCGCCTGCATAAAGAGGGAGACTCCAGGACCTAGGACAAACAGAAACTGCTAGAGCCCAGGGACAAGGCCAAGTTCTCCATGAAACACATGACAGATGTATATGCAGGAAGATATCACTGTGACTATTTCAGTCCCACCAGCTGGTCAGAGCCCAGTGACCCCCCTGGAGCTGGTGGTGACAGGTGCGAGCCCACTCAGGGTCCCAGACTCAAGACTCTGCCCTCAGGAAAGGGGGTGGTCTCTCAGGGGTCTCCCTCTCACAGCCCAGCCTGGGGATACTGTGGGGGATGGGTCTGAGACCCATTTAACACCACCCCCTCCTCCTCTCCTAGGATCCCAGGACAAACCCAGGCTCTCAGCCCTGCCCAGCCCTGTCGTGACCTCAGGAGGGAATGTGACCCTCCAGTGTGCCTCACGGATGGGATTCCACAGGTTTGTCCTGATGAAGGAAGGAGAGCACCAGCCCTTCTGGACCCTGGTCTCCCAGGCAGCCACCCGTGGGGGGACCCAGGCCCTGTTCCCTGTGGGCCCCGTGACCCCCGGCCTCAGGTGGACATTCAGATGCTATGGCTATTACAGCAACACCCCCCAGGTGTGGTCGGACCCCAGTGAGCTGACCCCTGGAGCTGCTGGTCTCAGGTGAGAAAGTCTGACTGTTGCCCCATTCATGCTTTGAGTCACCCGACAGGTTAACAGGGACTCTGCTCCCAGGGGAGTCCCAATGAGAGGGTGGGTGTGAGGACCACGGGAACTCACAGGTCAGAGTCACAGAGGGTGATGGACAGTGAGACCCGGGGGGTCAGGAGGGGAGAAGGGAGGTTTGGGGAGAAGCAGCCCCTGCCTTCCATGGCTGGTCTCTCCCAGGTGTGTCAGGGAAGCCCTCCCTCCTGACCCAACAGGGCCCTGTCGTGACACCTGGACACAGCATGACCCTCCAGTGTCACTCTGATGTCAGCTACGACAGATTCGTTCTGTCCAAGGAGGGGACACATGAACCTTCCCAGCGGCTTGTCCGGCAGCCCCAGGCTGGGCTCTCGGGGGCAGACTTCTACCTGGGCCTGGTGAGACCCTCCCACGGGGGCCGGTACATGTGTTATGGTGGAAACACCGTCTCCTCTGAGTGGTCGGCCCCCAGTGACCCCCTGGACATCCTGCTCGCAGGTGAGGGCTAATGGGTTCAGTCAGGACTGCAGACTCTGCACAGGTCCTGCCAGGGGAGCCCAAGGTGGTGGCAGCTGGGACCAGGGTTCTGGGGTCCCCAAGGAGAGAGAGAGACAGAGAGAGATGGGGGATGGGAAGGGACAGACCCGGAGGACACAGACAGACTCAGTTCAGAACAAGGGCTGGACAGCCCCTCACCCGCCCTTCCTCTCTCTAGGACAACTGCCCTACACACCCTCCCTCTCAGTGCAACCTAGACCCACGGTGGCCCCAGGAGAGAATGTGACCCTGCTGTGTCAGTCACGGAGCCCTGTGGACACTTTCCTTCTGTCCAAGGAGGGGGCAGCCGATCCCCCCCTGCGTCTTAGATCACAGTACCGAGCTGGGCAGCACCGGGCTGAATTCCCCATGAGTCCTGTGACCTCAGCCCACAGGGGTACCTACAGGTGCTATGGCTCTTCTAGAATCTCCCCCTACCTGTTGTCACAGCCTAGTGACCCCCTGGAGCTCCTGGTCTCAGGTGAGGGGCCCTGACCCTGTGCTGTCTAAGCTCTGTCAGCTCAGGACACACGTCTCAGGAAAGCCTGACACAGTAATACATGTAGGGTCACGGGGGCTCCACAGAGGAGGGTCCTGCCCTGGAGAGGTTGGGAAGATCCACAGTGTGCACCCGGTGTCCCCCATCCTGCGGTCTCAGCAGAGTAAGGAGTAGGGGCTGCGTGGGGGGTGAGTGAGGATGATGGTGAGTGGACAGTGCCTCCCACTCTCCTCCTGTCCCTCCATAGCAGAATCTGATGGTGTTGTCAGCCCCACGGGACACTCTCCTGGACAGAATCCTCCCCACCTGCGGGCACTGCTCTGCTGCCCCCGTACTCACCTGGGCGCCTCCATGCCCCTTGGTGCACACCTGAGACCCAGGAGGGGCCAATCCCGGCTCACAGGAGTCCCCAGGGAGGCTGCACCCTATGTCCATGTGCACTGGTGTCCACTCTGCATTGTGTGTGGACCCTGGTCCAGTGTCCCTGTGTCTGCTTCTCACACCTTCTAGAGCAGCACCTGCAGATGAGGACAAAGGGAACTCAGGTGACAGGGACACCAGACTCAGAAACCAGTCCTCCTTCTCCTGTGTGCATTGGGGTTATATAGATTCACAGGGTCCTTGTGGGGCACAAGCTCTGGGCACTCCCGGGTCTTAGCATGTTTTCAATGAGTCTCATTTATTTTTTGTTCATTTATTTATTATTTTTTTTAAATTTTCTTATGTAGCTCTTCTTCCCATCTCCATCCACACTGCATGAAAGCAATAAGGGTGTTCCTATGACCTAGTAACTGACCATCACCTTTCATGGATACATATTTATATGTCTGTTGTAGATGTGCACACACAGATCTCTCTCTCTCTCTCTCTCTCTCTCTCTCTCGGTCTCTGTGTGTGTGTGTCTGTCTGTCTGTGTGGCACTGTGGGTATCTGTAAGTAAATGAAGAATGAATTAATGAACATAGCCAAGGAGGAATACTGTAGGTACAGAATAAAGTGCAGACCCTGAAGGAAGGGAGCTGGTTGACATGGAGCGACAGGAACCCGACTCCAGACATCAGCCCCTCTGTGCTCCTGACAGTCAGGAGCCCCTGACTCCCGCTCCTCGTCCATGGATGCTGCTGGGACCTCGGCTACTGAATAAGTGGGAACTGTCATCTACAGGGACATGTGCCCAGGAGGTCTTGTGTCCCAGACAGAACGGAGAACATGTGAGGACATGATGATTTCTGTGCTGGGAGGACATTTTTCCCTGCAACCCTGAGCTGGTGGGGCACAGCCAGAATCTATCCCGAGTGACTCAGAAGCAGAGTCTGAAATCAAAGAGAAGAAGGAGGCTGAAGGAATCCAGTGAGGAGAGCAGAGGAAAGCCCCTAGTGCAGAGAAGGACTAGTTCAGAAACTGTACAAAAACCACATAGTGACAGGCTGAGGATAGAGACACAGAGCAGAGGACAGGCTGGATGGGGGTCTCCAGCTCCTTCCATCTGCTTCCATCTTCCCTGCAGAAGCCACTGGCACCGTGAGCCCACCCCAAATCAACTCAGACCCCAGCAGTGGTGAGTAGGAGAAATTCTCAGTGATGGGGCTGGTGTGGAGGGGGTGTCCTGTCTGGGGAAGCAGGTCCCCAGGGTGGACATGCAGGATATGGGTGATGTGGGTCCTCTCTGACCTCTGCAACCTCTCTGTCCTCATTCCTAGCTTCAGACCCCAGAGATTACACGGTGGAGAATCTGACCCGCCTGGGCGTGGCTGCCTTGATCCTGGTGGTCCTTGGGATTCTGCTGCTAGAGGCTCAGCACAGCCAGAGAAGGACCCCAGATGCAGCCAGGAGCTAAACACGAGTGGGAACAAGGCCACCATTCCATGTGGCAGAGCTGTGGGCATGCATTCCAGGTGCCCAGAGAGATCTGGAGGAAAGTCTGCAGCTCACCCTCGCTGATCTGTCTGCTGACAACATCGAGGGGGAGCATGGTTCAGGTGGCAGGCCATGTCTGGGCTGCTCCCTGTCCGGGACTGATCCCTCATGACTTGTGGTGGTTTCCCTCCTGCATTGTTGGACATCCTTGACTGCCCGCATCTTTCCTCATCCCTGTGACTTGAGGCTTCATCCCACACAGCAGGGCTGCTTCATACCTTCCTACAGCGGCAGCTCTGGTCCAGCTTCGTGGGATACATTTTCCTTCACTTTCCGTTTCCACCTTCCCTGATGTCCACTACTGCCCTCCGTCCCTTCAGCCCAAAACACAGTCTCTGTTTTCATAAGTAAATAAGTGGGTGAAAATTTGGACCACGTTTTAACAGATGAATCCAAAACCATTCCCTGAACCCTTTCTGGACTCACAGAGCTCTTCTGTCCTCATGTGGCGACACCTGGTGGAATCTTCCAGAAACACCATCAGTTTGAGTGAGCTCAGGGGCGTTTGAGGTGAAGTCAGGTGGGAGCTTCTACACTGACTCCATGGATTAAAAGTTTGGGTTTTTTTTTTTTTTAAGTTGTGATTCGTAGTATTTGCCCACTTCTTTGGTGTAAACACTCCCGTCATGGGCAACATCAAGGAGCCATGTGAACGCACTGTGCACCCAGGTGGGAGTCATGGATACACCGTCATCACGAGTGAGTGTGATCCAGCTGTGGGCTCACCTCACTGGTCATCCCAACGTGCACGTGTGCCTCCCTGTATTGTAAACATCCTGGTATTTTCCAGCTCAGTGTAATGCCACGGTTTCAGGGAAACTGACACACAAATCCTACTACAGCCACAGGACAGGCAAGAGAACACAATGGCAACATCCATCGTTGGAGAAAATACTGTGTACTTAGAATCCCAGTACATTCCTGGTAGGAGTATAAATTGCTAAGGACAAGTTGGGGATCAGATCAGAGTCATCTGGTGAAAGCAAGGGACGCAGCTCTGCCCCAGGATCCCACACCCTAGTGGAAACCATGTGTGTAGGCGTGGCACCTGTGGGAGAATATTGACAAGTGTGTTGCTCAGTGTAGACACAAACCATAGAGTTCAATCCCACACAATTAGCATTTTTTTAATTTTTAATTTTTTCAACGTAACAGTATTCATTATTTTTGCACCACACCCAGTGCTCCATGCAATCCGTGCCCTCTCCAATACCCACCACCTGGATCCCCCAACCTCCCACCCCCCGCCCCTTCAAAACCCTCAGATTGTTTTTCAGAGTCCATAGTCTCTCATGGTTCACCTCCCCTTCCAATTTCCCTCAACTCCCTTCTCCTCTCCATCTCCCCTTGTCCTCTATGCTATTTGTTATGCTCCACAAATAAGTGAAACCATATGATAATTGACTTTCTCTGCTTGACTTATATGAACAGACACTTCTCCAATGAAGACATACAAATGGCTATCAGACACATGAAAAATGTTCACAATTAGTATTTAATGGCAAATGTGGAATGGGATGTTTTAAGGTTGAAAAATCACAAACTGAAACCACCAGCAGTGTACAGATCAATTTCATCCTCCACATCGTGTATAGGAAAGCACATGTCAAGAACCCTGCATATAGGATTAATCCATCACATACATAATGTTCGTGAAGAGACCAGTCATTTTTTAAGCACAACTGACTAACTTCAACCCCATAAATAATGGGAGGAAAAGCTTCCCATAATCCATTATGGCGGTAAACCATACAAATGCCTGAGCTACGTATAGGTCCGTCTCTAAGAATCTGTCTGTTCTTCCTCATGGACTCGCCCTCTGTCCTACCAGACCATCATCCTGAGCAGCTGGGAGGAACCTCAGTTCCAGCTCATTCCTTGTCTGTCCCATCCCTAATCTCTGAGAGTTCAGGGCAGACAGCTGTGTGCAAGGGTGCTGGTCTCCAGGGTCAGAGTTCTCTCTACTCCATTCCTAGATGGAAACTTATTAGGGGCTGGACCTTGAAAACAGATGCAGAACCCCTCGACCTTAGTGTTGTATTAAGAAGTGGAAATAGGGTACCTGAGTGGCTCAGTGGGTTAAGCCTCTCCCTTCGCCTCCGGTCATAATCTCAAGGTCCTGAGATCAAGGCCCATATGGGGCTCTCTGCTCAGCAGGGACCCTGCTTTCCCCTCTCTCTCTGCCTGCCTCTCTGACTACTTGTGATCTCTCTCTGTCAAATAAATAAATAAAATATATATAAAATATATATAAAATAAATTTTATTTTTAAAGTGGAAATGACTTTTGGGTGGCAGAGAGCTTCCAACACAGGAAAACCTCTAATGACAATCCCTGGAATAATTCTTGCCCCACAGCTAATAGTTCCTTCCATTATGGATCTTACTTCTGGAGAGAGAAAAGAGTGGGACCCGTGAAGAAAGACCCCCATTTCCTCCGGGATTCACCATACACGAGGGTCCTAGATATGCTGACCCATTTCCATGGCAATGACAATATGACCCTCTACACCTCTACACCTGCAGAAAGAGAAATGCTCTGAGCTGGAGGATAACCAGGCTCTATGAGATCCCATAATAAGCCAGCAGGCCCCAAGCGATGACTGTGGGCATTGCAAATGCCACCAACAGAATGCCCCTGGCGAGTGGAGTTGTCAGGTCAGGGTCCTGTGTCTCCACATGAAGCCCATCTTACCCTTGTGACCTGAAGTACCGTAGGGACCAGACCTGGGCCACGGTGCTGCTGATTCTCACAGTAGCCCCACAGACAAATCTCTGTATGCTGTTCCACACCCTTTAGATAACAAGGTGATGTGCACTTTTGTTTTAAGTGCAACAAACAGTTTAGTTCTCTCATAAACCTCAGCAGGACTTTAGCAATACCGTTGTCATTTGGGAGAATGGTTTTCCCATCAAAATACAAAATTTCTTGGTGAAAAACACATCCACAGGGTTTGGGTGAGGCCAGGTGTTGCTTGTTTAGTAACTCAAGCCCAGAGAGATGAGTTAACTCTTTTTTTTTTAAAGATTTTATTTATTTGACAGATAGAGATCACAAGTAGGCAGAGAGAGAGGAGGAGGCAGGTTCCCTGCTGAGCAGAGAGCCCGATGTGGGGCTCGATCCCAGGACCCTGGGACCACGACCTGAGCCAAAGGCAGAGGCTTTAACCCACTGAGCCACCCAGGTGCCCCGAGATGAGTTAACTCTTGAAGGAAATGAGATTGAACTTGTATCAAATTCAGCTGCTTCCATTCAGTAAGCCAGAAGAGTTAAAATGAAGGATTACCAAAAAATGTTTGGGTGGTATCTATGTTTCTGAGAAAAGAACAGCTCAGCAGGCTGGTGAACAAGATCTAAGTCATCCAGCTACAGAAACTGCGAGATGCCAGATGATTTTTCAGACTTATTTGTGATACTTTATTTTTTATTGTTATTTTTGATTGTGTTATGTTAGTGACAACCATAATGCAATATTTGTGATATTTGAAAGATACAATAAAAGCTGAACTGATGTTGAGGGGGAGGAAACAATCTCATTTATAATAACATCAATAATAAAATATTTGGGAATAAATTTAGCCAAGGAGGTGAAAGCTATACCCTGAAAACTGTAAGACTTTTGATGAAAGAAAATGAAGAAGACCCAAACAAATGAAAGATGTCCCATGTTTATGGGTCAGAATACTGTTGTTAAAGTATCTCTATCGCGTGTATTATCTAGATATGCATTGTAGCCAGATATCTATAATAATGAGAATGGAAAAATACATGGTGATATATTCATGCAAGAAATACTATATTGCAGTCCAAAACAATGAAATGGAGCTATAAAAATTATGTGTATATCCTAGCAATATAAACTGAAACACAAAAAAGGCGGCACATGTTGTGATGAGACTGGGGATTATACACAGCTAATGAACCACTGAACTCTACCTCAAAAACTAATGGTGTACTATATGTTGGCTAACTGAACATAATAAAAAATGTGCGAAAGCTGATAATTTCAAAAATGTGAAACAGCTGTATATGCATATATGGACAGGAGAGACTGTGGACTCTGAGAAACTAAACTGAGGGGTTTGGAGAGGAGGGTGGGGGATGGGTGAGCCTGGTGGTGGGTACTAAGGAGGGCACGGATTGCATGGAGCACTGGGTGTGGTGCATAGACAATGAATTCTGTTACACTGAAAAGAAATTAAATTTTAAAAAAGATGTAAAAAAAATTTAGCACTTGATGTTTACATAAACAATGAATCTTAGAACACTGAAAAAATAAAATAAATTTTTTAAAAAACCCACTTATTGAAGAGACTGTCTTTTTTCCACTGTATATTTTTTTCTTGTTTTGTCGAAGACTATTTGACCATAGAGTTGAGGGTCCATATCTGGGCTCTCTACTCTGTTCCACTGGTCTATGTGTCTGTTTTTATGCCAGTACCATGCTGTCTTGGTGATCACAGCTTTGTAGTAAAGCTTTAAATCAGGTAACGTGATGCCGCCAGTTTAATTTTTGTTTTTCAACATTTCCTTAGTCTCTTCAATAAATGGTGTTGGGAAAACTGGACAGCTATATGTAGAAGAATGAAACTCGACCATTCTCTTACACAGTACACACAGATAGACTCAAAATGGATAAAAGACCTCAACGTGAGACAGGAATCCATCAGAATCCTAGAGGAGAACATAGGCAGTAATCTCTTCTATATCAGCCACAGCAACTTCTTTCAAGATATGTCTCCAAAGGCAAAGGAAACAAAAGCAAAAATGAACTTTTGGGACTTCATCAAGATCAAAAGCTTCTGCACAGCAAAGGAAACAGTCAACAAAACAAAGAGGCAACCCACGGAATGGGAGAAGATATTTGCAAATGACAGTACAGACAAAAGGTTGATATCCAGGATCTATAAAGAATTCCTCAAACTCAACACACACAAAACAGATAATCATATCAGAAAATGGGCAGAAGATATGAACAGACACTTCTCCAATGAAGACATACAAATGGCTATCAGACACAAGAAAAAATGTTCATCATCACT